TTGGTGAAAATGAAAAATGTGTCTTTTATGGAAAAATCATGCAGACTTTTTGGCCAACCCAATATATGCATATGTTGATAAATCCAGAGTAGTATTACTTGTATGCATTTATAATATAAATGTTGTAAGACCATAACTTTTTGATTCAGCAAGATATCTTGGAAATCTGTTCATGGTATTGCATCTGGTCCCAGTTCATTTCTTTTGACTGCCATAGAGTTATCACAGTGTGAGTGTATTATATTTTTTGTAGTTCCCTATTTGAAGATGTTTAGTAGTTTCTCCTTTTTCTTACTACAAATAATGCAGCAGTGAACATTCTTTTTTTAAAAATTCATTTTATTTTACCTTTTTTAAATATTTTATTTATTTATCTTTAGAGGGGAAGGAAAGGAGAAAGGGAGAGAGTTATCAATGTATGGTTCCCTCTAGTGTGTCCCCCACTGGGAACTGGCCTGCAACCCAGGCATGTGCCCTGACTGGGAATTGAACCGCGATCCTCTGGGTTCACAGGCCCGTGCTCAATCCACTGAGCTACACCAGCCAGGGCCATTGTTGAATAATCTTTCTTGGGCACAAATGCAAGAATTTCCTTAGAGCCAAAAGAAAGGAATGAAATTATTAGGTACAAATATTTGAAACTAATTTTTAGAGATTAATTGTACATGAAAAGTAATCTAGTGCTTATCCTTATTTCCTTCTGACCTTGATTTCATAATATGTAACAAGTTTTTTCTTTGCATTTTATTTTTCACCACTATGCTGATGACAAATTGACAACTCAGTGACAAAAAAGAAATGACTTTTTTTAAGCAAGTTTGGTTACTTTTGAATCATAGATGCTTTTGTCAGCATATCATTATTTGTAAGCTTATTTGTCTTTTAGAAATGAAACGTGACAGAGTAAACAGTAGCATCCAGTGATGTGCTATAGGGTTCGGTTTCCCCCCTAAACCGTTTTCTGCTACCTCAAGAAAGAACAGGCCACAGAACGTGTCAGTAGAAATGCAATTTAGGCAGTGCACTTGATCTTGGTTTTCGGCCTAACATTTCTGTTCTTTCTTCATAAAGATCAGCTGCGTTTTATTTTTTTTTTCAGTCCCTTAGAATAACATCCAGTTCTAGTCAGCATGTTTAATGTACTTCTCAATGTTCTAGCACAATAAATTTTCGTGTCTCGTGCATGAGTACATATGGTAAAAATTTCTTCAAGTTCTAGCCATGTGGGGGAGGAATATTGCGGTTGCTTTGTTAATGCAGTGTTTGTGTTGGAGCGGTTAGGGCCCGGTGCTCTAACTCTCAGTGCTGGGCGTAATGAGATGGCTTTGATGGTGGCTTAAGAGACTAGAGGGATGGTCACAGCTTCACACTTCAAAGCTGAGCATATGGGGTGAATACTGGGTAGCTTTTTGCTCTTCGGAGATGGTTGGGAGACAATTCTTAACGACTCTGTTTAATGAAGACATTGGAAAAGAAATGCTCTATCTTTAAAATAATTTTGAATTGCAAAGAGAAATTTCCACCACCCCCCTTTCATAGACTAAACTAAGAATAAATTTTTCCCAGTCTGCACTTAATTAGAGGCAGTACAGCATCACAGTACTACACTGTATTTTCACATGTCTTCTTTTTCAAAGTACTGTAGCGAGATTAATCGGCCAGCTTTATTTTAGGGATATGTATGAATTTAGGCAAAAACTTTTAGGGCTATCTGTTTTACCATCTGAGAGATTTTTGTGACTTCTGGTGGAGAATCTTTTTTTTCCCCTCTTCTCATTAAAAAATACTAAATAAAAAATCAAGTAAACACAAATCTTGGCTATATTAAGAGAGCTGTACTAAAACTAGAGGATGCTTGTAAGATTTCAAGTCTAGCACTCAGTTTAATTTTTAAATTCTGTGCTTTTTTACCTCTACTTGTTATTGAGTATGAGGTGATAGGTTCGAAAATACTCTTTTGATTGCTATGTAATTATGAAAAGATCTGGTATTCTTTGCGGGTATTATTAGAGTTCTGCTTTAAAATAAATAAGCCATACATTTATACTGTATGTGGGCCAGAGGAAGGACAGTTTCTCTGCTGTAGAGAAAAGGGAATGACGGATTGAGGTTTTTTCCTAATTGTGCATTTTGGCCGTCATGGAAAAATGTAACAAAAATTACCTTACCAGTTATGTTCCTTGAGCTGCTGAAATGGAATTCTGTTCAACAGCTAAGTGTCAACTCCATTCACACCAGTAGTCCCGAATTGCTCCTACAGGAATAAAAGCAGAAGGGAAAAGGATATTAAATACCACTATCGCCATGAAGTGTGTTAGTGTAAGGGAGATTCTTAAATACTGTCTTCACAGACTACTTTATTGTATATCCTCAATAAAATACTATATTTTGACTACATCTATGTCTGTTATAGGCTCAGAGAAAAACATTTAGTTAAAAATATGAAGCTTAAACTTCTTCTCATGCAAGGAAATGTCTCATTGCTTTGCTCCTCCTTTTGCAAAGAGGAATAATCAAACTCATAGAAGACTCTAAAGTTGGCAGAAAATGATAAATATACCTGTATAGAAATGGCTAAAAATCATTGTTTAGTAAACAACGTCAGCCAATCATGAAGGTTAAAATATATTTTAAAAATATTGTCATCAAATCAGCCTTTTCAGAATGTCTAGTGAAAATAGAAAGATCAGGACTATTAGAAATAGTGGTTGGGAAAACTTGTCAAAAGTGGAAGAAAAACTAAAAAGCATTGTTCTTTTAATAAAAAACAATTTAGGAAGCTGCAGAGTTATGCTTTGCCTATTTCAAGATGGCATAGAGCATCATACTCTTCCAGCACAAGATAATTCAGATGTTTGTCCTGTCTGACAGCACCGCGGGCTCAGGTAGCCACCGATACAGGTGCCGTTGATGGCTGTGGATGGGCCTTCTGTTCTGAGGACAGCGCATAAAACATGATGAAAATGGTGGAAGATTGATCCCATGGTTCCTCACCAAGGTACATTGTACGCCCACTGGTGTTAAACCCAGGCCACATTTTGTTAGCAGAGTGACCCCCTTATTCTCACTCGTAGGTTTTGGAGGGACTGCCATTCCAGGTTTGCAGAGCCCGACATCTGCAGAATGCTCAGGAACCAAACTCAATTCATTCAACTTAACAAACCTTAATTGTTCAGGGAGCTTGAAACCTAGATGGAGGAACAGAAGTCCGTGATTAACTATGTAATAGAAATAGATTAGATTTGATGTTATAGCCAATAAAAGCTGTAAAATACTACACAAACACAAGAGAGGGAGAAATGAATGTCAGTGGAGGGAAAGCACAGTTATAAAGCAGGGGTTAGTTCAGTAGTTCTAGTTTCTTGGTAATCACTGAAAGTGCGCAAAGTCCCTGCTCGGGAAATGCTTGGCTCCACTGTTGAAGGAAGACATAGCTTCATAGGAAATGAACACAGAGCTGTTGCTTTAAATGTCGCTTACCTGAAAACTGATGGGACTTCGTTTCCCACAGGCTTGAGCTTGAAGTATTCAGAATTTTTATCTTCTTTAAAAGGCCTATTTGTTTGCATGATGTGAGCATTTGAAATTACATAGAATGATTGCTGCATAGATTAATTGTGAAAATAAAAGAAAATGGAAACAAGCTCTTTTGAATATGGAATTTATATTACAAATAAAATAGCTTGCTAGTAAGTATTCTTCTGACTAAATAGAATTACATGAATTACATGCTAATTCTTTGGTACCATCTAACACCCAGGGTATAATCCAGGCAAATGTCTTTCTATGATGGGCTTATATAAATCTGGATCTGCAAATGGTTCACACAGCGCATTGTTTTCTTTCTTTTTAAATTATTTAATCATTTAAAAATTGTTATTCTATTACAGTTGTCCCAATTTTCCCCCTTCACCCTCCTCAGCCCATCCCACCCCCATTCAATCCCCACCCTGTTGTCCATGTCCATGGGTCAGTCATACATGTTCTTTGTCCAGTCCCTTCCCCTTTTTCCCACCATTATCCCCCTCCCCTCTGGTCCCTTTCAGTCTGTTCTATGTTTCCATGCCTGTGGTTCTATTTTGTTTGTTAGTTTATTTTGTTCATTATTTCTGTCTTTATATCTAGACCTGTTCCCCTGCCCTTATACCCCTTTGCCTCCCATTCACTGTTTCAGAAACTGCTTTAAAATACTTCAGTAAAACCAAAGGAAAGAAGAGGAAGATAAAGAGAGGAATAGAAAAGTAAAGGAAGTAAAGAAAAAAGAAAGAAAAGAAACTAACCCATAGAATAGAAGGGGAGATGAAGATTAGATAAACTAGGGAAAGCACCTGGCACAACGTCTGGCCCACGGCGCTCAGTCCGGGCCAAGTTTATTTCCCCTTTGCCAGCCGCCTGCCCTGTTCTGAATTCTGAAAAGCCCGAAGTGCCTCCCTGGACCCGTGTGTCCCTGCTTCTGTGTGTGTTCACAACACTCCTCTTCCATTATCTCTTCTGCACAAACTCATGGTGGAGGGAATCAAACTTAATTTTTGTCCTCTAATGAAGCAAGAAAGTAAAATATTTTTCATTATTCTCATTTGATAAAAAGACAAGCAAAATCAAAATGGTATCTCGTAATAGAGACAGTACACTGTACTCTTTATACTCGAGGAAATAACATTTCAGATAGGTATTTGTAATTTCCCTTGTGAAATTAGATTTGTAGTGGCTTAGAAATTCTAAACCTCCTTGTACAAAGACAAACTTTTATTATGAGACTAACTTCAGAGGAAAATAAATTATGCTCAAACCTAGATACATAAAATGAGTGTGAATTATATGCTTCAGTGGTGATGAGATGATGGGAATGTTCTTAATGCCACTGAATTTTACCCGTAGAATTGTTAAAATGGTAAATTTTGTGTTAACTATATTTTACCACAGTAAAAAATTATATGCTTTATTTTCTTATATTGGGATGATTTTAATGTAATTTTGTTAAAATCTCCCACTGCCCACAGGCCCTGCTGAGAGTCTGGTTCTGCACGTTCCGGGCAGCAGCGTGTTTGTTTTTGGGGAGGCCGACCTGCCCGAGAAGCGCACCCTTGTCCGGAGAAGGAAGCAGCTGGGCTAGTTCACGAGGAGGGACTTCGGTGCTCTGGAACCTGACCTGGGAGCCGCACCTGCCCGAAGATGTGGTTTAACAGGTTCTCAGTACAGTTTTGTTCTGTTTTTGTTTTTAAACTTGATCATAGAATCCTGAGATCGCTTTAAGTCGAACCCTCCTGTATAATGTAGGTTATAGTTGGGGCTCCATAGTGAATTCAGTGAGGCTCTCTCTCAGCTCTTACGCCCCCTGTGACCTCATAAGCTGACCAGAGAGGTTAGAAGCCCTCCTCAGATATTAAATGAAAGTCCCTTGCAGAGTGATATTCAAGATACGCAACGAGCCTTGCAGCATAGCCATCGATGGTAAGAATGGCTGTCATTCCTGACCCTGGGGTAGGATCCTGGAGGCCTGTTGCTGTGCCAGGTGTGAGGTTGTATCTGGGGTGTGATGGGGACACTTGAGGGTAGAGGTCACTTTTAGCTGGTAGGAAAGTTTCTCAGAACTTGACCGGTGTGGTCAAGTCGATGCATACAGCTGGAAATCAGTTCTACAGGCAGCTAGAGAAAAGCTTCTCTAGACAGCAGGCTTCTAGAACAGATGAAGCACACATCCAGAATGGTCTTTTCCCTTCCCCTGGATTTTGTCAGGTTCAGCCTCTCTGCTCCTCCAGCCTCCCCTGTGTAGGGGACTTAACACGGGAAAAAGCAGCAGCATCCCTCTCCAAAGCTCCAGCCCTGCTTCCAGCACTTCACCACCCTGGTGCCATTTATTTGAGCTTTAATTCTTTCATTCTCAACTATCTTCTGCAGCGGTCACAACTTCAACTGTGTTCAGTAATGTTTTGGTAGTAGTTACTAATGAATACCTTAGCAGTGACAAAAATACTGCTAAGTATTTTTACCCAAGAGGGGAGCAGGCATGAGAAACACCTTTCCTCACAGCACAGCTTGGCTGCAGTTGCACCAAAGCCTTCAGTTACTAACCTCTGGTACAGAATTCTGCCTTCAAACAAATGGTGTCTATAATCGAGTAGGGTAGTGCCATGGAAAAAAGCACAGGCTTTGAGGCTGTGCTTGAATCCTGGCCTTGCTGTTTACTGGCTGTGCGACCTCTGAGAGTTCCTTAATTTCAAGCCTCAGTTCCCATGTCTATGAAACGGACATAAGAATTGTACCTCTCTCATGAGACTGTGAAATTGAAATGATGTCTACTAAGTGCCAAACGCAGTACTAAAGGGCCGTCCTTTTTCTCCTCTGTAGAGAGGAGGTATTTAAAAAAGTGATTATGAGTGTGTCTCAGTATGTAGTTATGGAAAAAAAGGAAGAAATCGATTGCTCCCTGCCAGTTTGAACCTAATATATTTTCCCACGGTTTGTCTCACAAGTGTAGAAGTGTGAGTTTTGTGACTAAGCTCTCAGAAATCTAGGTCCTGGTTTCTAACTAGAGCCTCACTAAAGACTGAAGGGATGACACCACAAACCCAGAGAGCGCAGTGCCAGGTGGCCGAGATTACGGTCGGTGGGCGGGAATTAGAAACGAGGACCGTGGTGTTAGACTACAGCTGAGCTGGCTTTCGCGTGGGGTGAGGCACACCCTGAAACAACCCACTTCTCATTGTTACAGCGCTGTGAGGATGAATGGGTCGGTGTTTGGGAGGAACTTGAACCTTATATAAAAATCGTATCCTTGATACCTTACAGGCAAGAAGAGGCTGGAAAAAAGTATCCCAAGTCATGAAATCCAAAGACCTACATCCAAGATTGCTCTAAACTATGGCATACCTAAATGAAAGACTGTTATGCAAGCAATTTAGCATGACGTCGTGGAAGAATTGTTAGGGACATGGAAAATATGATACAGTGTAGAGAGAGTTTGTAGTTAATTCATGCAACAAGTATTTGTTAAGCACTTAATATGCACCAGGCATTATCATCAGTGGGCAAAATAGAATTTATATGCTGTCAAAGAATTTATATTCTACTGGATAGGGGGATGAGGAGACAGACAATAAATAACAAGCTTAATAAATAATGAATTACACAGCATGTTAGAAAATGATAAGTGCTACAGCCAAAAAAGAAATCACGAGTTCTGGGATGGGGCGAATTGAGATTTGAAATGGTGTAGTCCCAGGCAGGCAGGCTTCAGGGGCGACGGCAGCTTTGGAGCACAGATGGGGTGTGAGGCCATTAGCCGGGTGGAGATGCAGGCAGGCCTCTCAGGCAGAGGGAGGAGCCAGTGTCGAGGCCAAAGAACATAAAGTGGCATAAACAGTATTATCTCAATATTGTAAAATGCATATGCGTATATTTTATTGCTCTCATATATTTATAAGAAAAACATTTAAAATTCTGTAATGCTTCCAACATATTTTCACAGTTTCTCTAAATTGAGCTTGTGATTTTCTATTATCTTTCATGAAGAAGGGCAGTTATTGTTTTAAAGATTCTATTTATTTATTTTTAGAGAGAGGAGATGGAAGGGAGAAAGAGAGGGAGGGAAACATTGATGTGTGAGAGAAACATCGACCAGTTGCCTCTCACACACCCCTAACCGGGCACTTGGCCAGGGCTCATGAAGAATAATTATCAATGTTTATCAGTGGCCAGTTTTATAAAAACTGTGTTTCAATCTATCTGTTCAAATTGGATTCCATGGGAGATTTAAGATAAGAAGAAAAAAGTAGCAGTACTGTTTCTGCACATGTCTTTTTGGATAGTATCTCCTGACAAGTGGTGGGAGCCTTAGTTAGTGCAAAAACCATAAAAATTATAAGAGTTGCTAAGGTTAGGCAACTGTTCATCCAGAGGCCCTTCATCTAATAGGCTCAAAGCAGGTGCTAATGACAGAAAGACAAAGTGTTTCAAGGTGGAATAGTGAATAAGGGTGTGGATAAACAACTTGTTTCTAGTATTTCACAAACCAGATTGGAATTCAAGTTTAAGATACGTCATCACCCCAAATCTTAGGTTACCTTACTTGTACAAATTCTCCCTTAAAAATGCTTTCATTTTAAAAGTAGTATCTATTGAGGTATAATTTATAACACCTCTGTCGTTAGGATATAAATGTTCGTCCTCTAATTTTTTAATGCACTTAGTTTCCAACAATGGTGGATTCCCTTATTTTAAAATTTAATGGCTTTATATTTTTCTAGCTTTTTTTTAGTTATATCAGTGCTTCTCAACAAGTTTTTCCACTTCTCCCATCAAAACAGCAAAGCCTCAACACATTGTTGCTGTTTATTTCTTTTCCCAAGGAAAAAATTAAATAGAAATGATTGGTGCTATCAACTGGACACTTCCAGCTGACTTTCCAGTGACAAATTAATCTACACAGTGCCCGAGAGGAAGCAGATTTATAGGGGAACAGGTTTCTGTTTTGAAGTTCTCTACGAATATTATAAATAGAAGAGAAAAAAAAAGTGAGCTCAGAAATGACTAACACACTCAGTCAGTGCCAAACAGACAAAATCTTTTAAACCAAATTCCTTTTAAAAGTTGTAGTTGGCCAGCTCGTGGGGAACATAAATTAGGGCAAAGCAGTAATAGTTGATACTTTTAGACCTATAAATAAATACTTTATACATATATATTTAAAAACCCTAAACATTTATGGGATAATTTAAACACTGCTGGCTGATATGTTATATGAATGGTCTGCGTATACTATATGCATCATTGTTTAAAAATACAGGGACAGTGCTTTGAACCACATAGTTTCATATGGTGCTTTAGGAATCATAGATGGAGGTAATTGGTACATCTTGGAATCAGGGACTTCTGTTTAGTTACTTAAATAAATGGGTTACTGAAAGCTGCCCCTACTACTTCTCTGTAAATAAGACGTATAGCATCATCAGGCACTTTCCCTGACACTGAATAATACAATTTACTCCACATCAGAACTTTTATTTAGTCTTTGAAAAATAATAGCCTGTTCTAGAATGAGTCTTTTAAGTTTTAAGGAACCTATTTTCACAATTTTGTTTGATTGTAAATCCAGTTGGGATGGTGGGAAATGAAAGCCTCCATGTGTGATTAAATATGTAACCTGTAATGGACACACGAAGGACCTAGGCGCCGAACTAGTGCAGGGCACTGTCCCACCACGGAAAATGTGGGAGCAGGCGAGTTAGCTGAGTCTCCGCCCCTGGGCTAGCTTCATTCCGCGGCAGAGTTAGCGCGTACCTGCTGCAGTAGTTTCCTCTCAGTAAATTACAGCCGTTCTGAAGGATTTTCAAAGTTGAGAAATGGAGGCTCATTATTGCTTGCAGAGCAAGAAAACATCATAGCCATTTAGCAGAACGGCTGAGCCAAGGCAATGTCCCGAAGAGGTAAAATTTGAATTCGGATGGCTGGGTGCCACTCCCAGCCCCGTGCCACATGGTCCTCGCTTAACTTTCCTTCCTATAGACCTGGTCACGTGCGTGGAAGAGTCCCGCATTTTATCCTTCCACGGGAGCGTGGGGCTTAGCGATTTCATTTGAGTTTTACAGCTTTAGTCATCAAATGTCTTGTTCAGCTATGATTTCTTTTTAGTATGTGTTCTAAAAAAATTTAAAGTACCAATATATAATGATGACTAATTGCTTTTGGTGTAATAACTCCTTATATTTTTGAGCCTGAGTTCCAAGTCTGATTCCTCGCTGACTTTGTTACTCTGAAGCAAAGACCACTTGTAGGCTAGGTTTTATCGTATTTTAACCTTCTGCATGTTTTTATACCATCAACCTGCATGGTTCCTGACGCTCAGCAGGTTTTCAGTAAAAAAACACATTAACTGAGGGAGTTGCACACTGGTGTACAAGACTCTCTATTTATTCAAACCGTAATGTAATCCACAAATTCGAAGTTCTCTCATCAGATATAAAAATGCCGTATATCCCAAAACACGACCTCAGCTCTCTGCTAGTGCATTCTTTAATATAGCACCGAAGAAGAGCGTAGCATAACAAGTAGATTTCTAAAGACGTCCCTAAGCAACTTCTGACCTACTGAAATGAGACTCTTTCTATGGAGGAAAATCCATAAAATCGCTTCACCTTTAATTGATTGAAGATGATGGTACTTGGAACTATTTTCAAGAATAATTTTGATCTAAAGGGAAAAAAAGGACATGTGTTTTTTCTGCATGCTGTTTTTTCATTGTTCTAATGGGCTCTTCACTATTGTTTTGTCTGAATGCAGTTTTTTATTTGTGTTATTCCAGACGTGGTCCTACCACAAGCATCTTTAAACCAGACATTAATAGCATAGTTCATAGTCATTACTGCCAGTGCTCAAACGCAAATACTGCATTTCTGTTCGCAAAAGCTACACATCAGATGTTAATTAAGTGCGTTTGGGGTTTTTTTTTTCCTGCTTACACAATCTGGCATAAAGAGTTTACATCTTTATCAGTTCACCATAAGGTCTCTACAATATCTGAATCGCCAGAGTGCAGTATACGATACAGTGTTTCCATACAAGAAAATAACAGAATTGTTAGAAAAACATCAGGCCTGTTGTATTTCCCTGTGAAATAATAGGAACTGGATCTCAGTTTCTTTTTTCTTTTTTGATAAAAAACGTATTTAATGAGGAGTAAACACCAATATTTAGAATGATAAATTTTTCATTAAAGAGCACATGGAAAGTGATATACCAAAGATTTTTTCCCTTGTTTTTAGCTTGCTTCAGGGCGTTGTGACAGTTGCATTGCAGTAAGATTGGAATTTGAGTTTTGCAGAGAGGGGATTCTGCCGCTGCCAGAGCGGGGGGTGCCAACCTGCAGGCAGCGCGAGCCGGCGGAGCTGCAAACTGAGAAATAAACTTCCACATCGGGTTTCTAATTTTAGAGCAAAAATTGGGACTACTTTAATTATACGACACTTAACCTAGAAATACAATTTGCTGGGATTAATTATCTTCCTTATTGAGCCCTGGCTGGCGTAGCTCAGTGGATTGAGCGCGGGCCTGCGAATCAGAGTATCGCGGTTCGATTCCCAGTCAGGGCACATGCCTGGGTTGCAGGCCAGTTCCCAGCAGGGGACTCACGAGAGGCAACCACACATTGATGTTTCTCTCCCACTCTTTCTCCTTCCCTTCCCCTCTCTCTAAAAATAAATAAATAAAATAAAATAAATTATCTTCCTTATTGAAAAATTTTTACTAAGTTTAAATTAGCATAAAGAATCAAATTCAGTATTTGAATAAGGTCAGTGCAACTAGTCGGTTTAAATGCAGAGTTTGATTCATTGTACTTGGACCACCATACTGATGCTGGGCCTGGGAAAGATCAAACGGAGGAAGGTGGGAAGGCCTGCATTTGGGTAGAAAGTAGTTTTCTTTCCCTCCTTTACTCTCTTCCTCCCTCCATCCCTCCCACCCTCCTTCTCTCCCACCCTTTCTTCCAAGGGAGAAATGGGTCATGGCCTCATAACCCCTCTGGAAGGAAATTACTACCTGATTAGGTCAGAAAACTTCTCAGATTTATCGTCTCTGTTTATTCACTGCTTACATAAGGTACAGCAATAAAACAAAGTAAATTTGTGTAATTAAAGTTTGATAGAAGAATTAAAATACACATAACAGTGGTATACATGAAAAATGATAATTCTGTGTTAATTTTAATTTATTTCTCTTATTTAAAAGAGAAAAGTTACTTCTGATGTTTAATTTCATTTTTCTAAGAGATAATTAACTTTTAAGTATGCTTTGAAGGCATTTTAAAAATAGGGTTATTTTTTAAATTAAGCACATCAGTGTTGGGAAGAATGTATTCTTTATCAGACTCTTGTGCTCTGGGCTTAAGATCTAAATTTTGTCCATCTTCAATAATTTATCTTAGGCAAGGAATTTATTTATTAACAAGAATGACCACCTTTGGAAATTCTAATAAAGAAGGGACAATCCTTATGCACGTGGTAAAAAGTGCCTTTGCATGTACTGGGTGTGGGGTTCGGGAAATGTCCTGTGGCCATAGGGTTGGAACAGGCGACCGTGTTGTAGTGCGGGAGAAGGAGCTGTGTGATTTGCCCCCTCAAACTGTTAAATTGCATGTGAATATCTGGATCTTGACTGGGCATATCAAACTTCTGAAATACCAATAGGCCCAATATGTATTTTGAAGAGTTGTGCTTACTGTAACCCAGTATATATTCATGCTTGTCAGTAAAACATGAATGAGGTTGTTGGAGTGATGGTAAAGATGAGGTCACTTTTGGAATCAGAAGAGCGTATGTGTTCAGATTTGAGGAAACTGAACTGTTTGTAACATTACCTGTTGAGGAGTGCAGGAGAGAGAAAAACCATGCTTGGATGTTTTCCATTAATGAATGACATTAGCATTGACAAAAAATTTTTTTCCAGTGTACTCTGTGAAATGTTAAAACTGATATACTTCTCAAAGATATTTAGAGTAAGTGATTGGGGTATGAGATTATGAGATAGAGATGTATTGACTGTTAGGAAATTTAATTTTTATGAAATCAGCATTATGAAGAAATACTGTAATCTGATTCATTCCTGCAGAATTCCCAGTAGAAAGAGGCCCAGCCTCAGGAGTTGAAATGTTTCATTATGTGTACATGTGTGGGAACAAATGAAATGTGGTTTTCATGTGCTGATTTTCTGTAAAACATCTATTAGTATGAGATTGCCTAGGCTAAGGCAGAAAAGCCCCCAAACCACGGCTGTCTCGGGGAAAGTGAACCCAGAAGGATACTGACATCATGAGCAATAACCTTGAAAGTAGCAAGAAAAAGCTATGACAGTAACATAATGTTGAAATAGTAGCGAAGGAATTGTCATATGCTGAAGATGAGGTCAGCCTTTTGTCTCCCATCAATCCCTAATCAACTTTGCTTTAAGAAATGGAAGGTTCCCCCAAAATGAAGAAACTGCAAACCTAAGCTTTTTATACCAATGCTAATTTAACCAAGTTGTTCATCTTATAATGTAAACTATAATTAGAGCAGGGCTATTTATGTAACATGAGCTGCACCACTTTTGAGGCAAGAAAAAGAAGGACATTTGCCCTTGGGCTCTAAAGTAACAGGGCTCTCAGTGACATCGGCAGTCCCAGGCCCTGGAGAAGCTGGAGCAACAGAAAGAGGTGCTGCCGGCAGGGCGTGACAAGGAAGGTATGCACAGTGCTCCAAACCCCACCAAGCCCACATTCTCAGGAGGCCCAGAGGTCTCCCTCCCCAGTTTTAAGGCTGTTTGTCACTGTTTAGTGACCTCCATCCCTATCCAAGGGACTTGTTGAGATTCACTTGAATTGGGTGTTAACCAACTTCGTGGTAACAGGTGTGTGTTTGGAGAGGAAGGGATGGCTACAGAGTGTGATTTATTCCTGTTTTCTACACCGTTACACCTGATGCTGAATTCCAACCCTTGTGGAAATAATCCTTGGAAATGGATGAAAGGCCAAAGCTTTTTGCTGCTGTTGATATTTAATACTAAAGGGTGCTTTCCTTTTTCTGTTCTTATTTTGAAAAGTCTGAACTCTTCTCAATTCTTGTAGTAAAAAACAACCTTCAGATACTTTCAGAGTAGATAAAAGTTTCTGCTTGTAGCTCAAATAGCTCTGTTATAAAACATATATACACATACGAAGTCTGTTTGGAAAAAGTCCAACCATTGTTAATATGATGAGAACAATTTGCATGACATCTATGTAGCCTGGCAGCCAAGGAGAGTGGACTGGAATGTGCATGTGTGAACAATGATGACTTCACTGTACTAGTCAGTGGGGATGGTAGACGCTGTTGAGTGAGCATGTGTAGTGTGTGATTGTTGCATTCAAAATGACTGAGTATTACAATAAATTTGCATCAGATTTTGTGTTCAGCTTGAACATTCCTCTGTGGAAACTATTCAGATTCAGAAGGCTGAAACTATAGGCAGTGACTGGCAGCTTCATCATGACAGTGCACCCACCCATGCATCCCCTCTCATGCAAAGAGTTTTTGGTGAAACATCAAACCACGCTGGTGACTCAGTCTCCCTACAGTCCATAGGTAGCACCCTGTGACTTCTGGCTTTTCCCAGAACTAAGATCACCTTTGAAGGGGGAGAGATTTTAGACTGTCAGTGAGATTCAGTATACAATAACAGGGCAGCTGATGGCAAATGGGAGAACTGTGTGAGGTCCCAAGGTGCCTACTTTGAAGGAGACTGAGGCGTCATTGTCCTATGTACAGTGCTTTTTGTATCCTTTGTTTTCTTCAGTAAATGTGTCTTTTTCATATTACATGGCTGGATACTTTCTAGACAGACCTCGTATATAAAACCTTTATAAAATTCTGGAGTTGATAATGAGGGGTATCTGTATTATTTTAAAGTAAAACCAAGTAAAGCTAGCTCCTTAGATTAAAATTGGCTAAAGACTAGAAATTCAGAAGGAGTTTTTTGCTTTGGTTGATTAACATTTTCAAGGATTTAGGCATCGGTGCCAGCCCATATGTGATGAACTGCAATGTCACCATAGACTCTCAAGACTTGGCTTTGGGAAAAGAGATTGCCAGTGCCATTCGGGGCTCCAATGCAAATGGACTGAAGGGCGTCCAAGCGATGGCGTTTTCCCATGAAGGGAAAATTGAGATAGCGTGCAATGCAGAGAGTTTTGAAGACCAAGAAGCTACAGAAACCTCAGAAGATTCTCGATACATGGCTCACAGTGTCCTTGGCAACCATTTTTCCTATGTATCTCCTCATTACATAGAAGCTCAAGTTAAAAAGTTGGCGGGTGATCATGGAATTGGTACTGTATTGGGAGAGCATTAATAGGATTTACACCCCAAGAGTGCAAGAACTGCGTTGAATATGCTATAAAGGAAAGTACTGGAGAATTCTGGAAGATGTGGGGAGGTGTTTTCATATGATCCAGCTTAAAGATTCGTGGACATTTTAAGGAAGAACACCAACCATTACGAATTTATTTATTTTTTGGCCAATAAAGATGAGGGGAAGGTACAAAGAGCTTGGTTATAGCTTTATCCTGGAAAATTAGAAACATCCTTTGTTCAATGACCCGTCTTTATAGATCATTTGTAATTGCCCTGTGATATTTCCAGTTGTCATTAAAATTTCATAAGAACGTATTCTGTGTCAAGTTTATGCACTTGGGAGCATTAGAAGCCTTCCTGAGTCAGCTAAGTAGTATGGCCATGGTTGCTGAACCACCTTTAATTACTGTGAACAAAACCAAAACTGGACTTGACTCCCTTGGTTTCCCCGAAGTCTTTATTCCCAAGTTCTGTATTCAATTTTCATTTGTTGACTCATCATTTTTTAACATGTACTTTAAAAAATCAAATACTGACTAAAAAGTGAAAAGAATTATTAAATAAAATTATTCTTTCAAAGCATGATTTTTTTTTTTTGCCTTCCCACTTTGGGGAAGACCTGTTGTTTATTCCAGAAATAACTCCAAAACCTCAAGTTTTCTAATTTTTTAATGTTTATATAGGGAGATTGAATGGTGGCGTTGGGCATGGCTTATCCTTTTTGGAATTTAAATGGAAAGTCTGAAAATTTAGGGAATATATTGCTTTTGAGCAAAGAGAAGAATATCAGTGGAAGAATTTTATTTTAAAGAAATTAAAGTATGTTGTCATCTTGTGAACTGAATGAAACCACTTGTTGATTCTGGCGATTTTATGTAAATCTGTAGTATTTAAATTGCTTTAGTACAAGGCACTTTTT